GCCACCATTCGGCGTGACGATACATTGTGACATCACGTCTGACACCAACCGACGTAACGATACATTGTGACATCACGACTGACATTACCTGGCGTGACGATACATTGTGACATCACGTCGGAGATCATCCGGCGTGACAATACATTGTGACATCACGTCTTACATCATCAGGCGTGACGTTACATTGTGACATCACGTCTGACATTATCCGACGTGACATTACATTGTGACATCAGGTCTGGCATCATCTGGCGTGACGGTACATTGAGATATCACGTCTGACACTATCCGGCGTGACGATGCATTGTGATATCACGTCTTACTTCATCCGGCGTGACGTTACATTGCAACATCACATTGGACATCATCTGGCGTGACGTAACATTGTGACATCACGTCTGCCACCATTCGGCTTGACGATACATTGTGACATCATGTCGGAGATAATCCGACGTAACGATACATTGTGACATCACGTCTGACATTACCTGGCGTGACGATACATTGTGACATTACGTCTTACATCAACAGGCGTGACGTAACATTGTGACATCAGGTCGAACATCATCTGGCGTGACGATACATTGTGACATCACGTCGGATATTATCCAACGTAACGATACATTGTGACATCACGTCTTACATCATCTGGCGTGACGTAACATTGTGACATCAGGTCGAACATCATCTGGCGTGACGATACATTGTGACATCACGTCGGACATTATCCAGCGTAACGATATATTGTGACATCACGTCTTAAATCCTCCGGCGTGACGATATATTTTGACATTATATCTTATTTAAAATGACGTAACAATACACTGTGACATCACATCTGACATTATCCGATGTGACGATACATAGTGACATTATGTTTTATTTAAAATGACGTAACGATTCATTGTGACATCACGTCTAACATTATCCGGCGTGACGATACATAGTGACATCACGTCGGATATTATCCAGCGTAACGATACATTGTGACATTATGTCTGATTAAAAAATGACGTAACGATACATTGTGACATTATGTCTTATTTAAAATGACGTAACGATACATAGTGACATTATGTCTTATTAAAAAATGACGTAACGATACATTGTGACATTGTGTCTTATTTAAAATGACGTGACGATACATTGTGACATCATCTTGACATTATCCGGCGTGACGATAAAGTGACATTATGTCTTATTAAAAATGACGTAACGATACATTGTGACATTATGTCTTATTTAAAATGACGTAACGATACATAGTGACATTATGTCTTATTAAAAATGACGTAACGATACATTGTGACATTATGTCTTATTTAAAATGACGTAACGATACATTGTGACATCACGTCTAACATTATCCGGCGTGACGATACATAGTGACTTTATGTCTTATTTAAAATGACGTAACGATACATTGTGACATTATGTCTGATTAAAAAATGACGTAACGATACATTGTGACATTATGTCTTATTTAAAATGACGTAACGATACATTGTCATATTACAACTAACATTGCCTGGATTTTGTCACATCACTCTTGACATCACTTGGCGTCACGACGGCGAGGCTTTTCATAGTAACATTTCCCGTAATGACAAGGCGACGTCGTATTAAGGGTTTCTGGATGATGTATCTGTTTGTTGAGTAGTAGACCCCACAATTATGGTAAAACTACATCTTTCTTTCTCCTAGCACGATGGACTTTTCAAATCTCAATCTTATGGGGGTTTCACAGACGTATTGACGGACGGACGATTAGAAAGACAGTCAGGGTGAATTCTACAAACTCATAGTGTAGTTTTTATTGGTATAAAAGGTGTGTTGTAAACCTAAACAAATAATTCACAGTTACTCGTTTTATTCTTTATTTAATATTTTTTACATTTTTATTAAACATATGTCCAAATATACGTCAAAATACAATGTACAACAATATTGCAAAATAGTTTACAACAGAAACAAAGTACTGTACAATATTATCATGTAATGTACAACATTTCTAATCGTTGAACAACTAATAAATTCAAGAAAGAAAAAAGATTACACCTAAGTGCAAGTTTCCTGAACGATATCATCCAAAATAATGTTTGGCAGAACTATATTTCACAGAAATATTCATAAAAACATGTACGTCAGAGTATTATTTTTGCAGAGTAGTGTTTATTACAAGTTCAAGTTTATCATTTTTAATGTGTACAACTATTATTAGAATGGTGTTAGTTATTTGTGTAGAGTACTATTTTTAGAAGGCAGACTGAAATGACAGTGGTAATTTTCAAAAGTTTCCCCCTTTTTAAAAAGGAAAGGCAATCGGCCAATACAGGTAATGATAAATTCTGTAAGATTTACAAGATAATTCAAACTTTCATAAAAAATAAATAACAAACACATAAACAAAATACTCGAATATAAACACGTGTAAGAGTTATCTCTCTTTACATTCAAACTCGAGGTGTGTCCTTCCTCCATTTATATATGTATGTACATATCTAGGATCACATGATAACAGGTGTAATCTGGCGCCATTCTCATGCCTCAGGTGATAATTTAGAGGTAGGTTCGGTGAATCTGAAGACATTGCTCTGCTAAAGACAAGCATAACACTGTCCAATCGAATACACTATTGTCCATCACACCTTAATATCACATGCTTCTACATAGGTTAAAAATGTCTACACATGGACCATATAGTGGTACATACAGTGGTCAGTAAAGTTGCCAAACAAAGTTCAGTACCAATAAAAGAACTATCTAAAATACCAGACGTTTAATATATCTTCTACAACTCAGTCGAGACCTGGGCACTAACGAGAACCCGACACGGGTCCAAATCTAAACAACAGCTAACTACAATATTGTTGCCAGTTTCTGCAATACTACCACAGTAACCCTCCTATTACCATAGCTACAGTATTGGTACCGTAGTTATAATCCAATGACATTACTGTAACTATCGACATGTTATAAAATACCAGAGCTCCAACACAACCACGTCTCTTATTTACGTCTGTATTGTCAATAATGACGTCACTGTACAATATATCTAACAATATTTACAACAACACGTTCAGCTCAGTCTACCCCTGAATGTACGATATAACGGAGTGTATATAACTACCAGCTGATAGTTAGGCTTAACGACAGTCAGCTGGTTAACAACGTCAGAAAGGTTTAGTTAATCCTAACGACAGTCAGCTGGTTAACAACGTCAGAAAGGTTTAGTTAATCCTAATGACAGTCAGCTGGTTAACAACGTCAGAAAGGTTTAGTTAATCCTAACGACAGTCAGCTGGTTAACAACGTCAGAAAGGTTTAGTTAATCCTAACGACAGTCAGCTGGTTAACAACGTCAGAAAGGTTTAGTTAATCCTAACGACAGTCAGCTGGTTAACAACGTCAGAAAGGTTTAGTTAATCCTAACGACAGTCAGCTGGTTAACAACGTCAGAAAGGTTTAGTTAATCCTAACGACAGTCAGCTGGTTAACAACGTCAGAAAGGTTTAGTTAATTCTAACGACAGTCAGCTGGTGAACAACGTCAGAAAGGTTTAGTTAATCCTAACGACAGTCAGCTGGTTAACAACGTCAGAAAGGTTTAGTTAATCCTAACGACAGTCAGCTGGTTAACAACGTAAGAGAGGTTTAGTTAATCCTAACGACAGTCAGCTGGTGAACAACGTCAGAAAGGTTTAGTTAATCCTAACGACAGTCAGCTGGTTAACAACGTCAGAAAGGTTTACTTAATCCCAACGACAGTCAGCTGGTTAACAACGTCAGAAAGGTTTAGTTAATCCTAACGACAGTCAGCTGGTTAACAACGTCAGAAAGGTTTAGTTAATCCTAACGACAGTCAGCTGGTTAACAACGTCAGAAAGGTTTACTTAATCCTAACGACAGTCAGTTGCTTAACAACGTCAGAAAGGTTTAGTTAATCCTAAAGACAATCAGTTGGTTAACAACGTCAGAAAGGTTTAGTTAATCCTAACGACAGTCAGCTTGTTAACAATGTTAGAGAGGTTAAATTAATGCTAACGACAGTCAGTTGGTTATCGATGCTAGTGAGGTTAAATTAATCCTAACGACAGTCAGTTGGTTATCAATGTTAGAGAGGTTTAATTAATCCTAACGACAGTCAGCTGGTTAACAACGTAAGAGAGGTTTAGTTAATCCTAACGACAGTCAGCTTGTTAACAATGTTAGAGAGGTTAAATTAATCCTAACGACAGTCAGTTGGTTATCGATGCTAGTGAGGTTAAATTAATCCTAACGACAGTCAGCTTGTTAACAATGTTAGAGAGGTTAAATTAATCCTAACGACAGTCAGTTGGTTATCAATGTTAGAGAGGTTTAATTAATCCTAACGACAGTCAGCTGGTTAACAACGTAAGAGGGGTTTAGTTAATCCTAACGACAGTCAGCTGGTTAACAACGTCAGAAAGGTTAAGTTAATCCACAGACTTAGAAAAAAACATTGAGGACATTTTGGCTTTCTACGGTTGGCCTCGATACTTTTTGTAAAATCCCTTTGATCGGCAGTTTACGTCATCCTGCCCTAAGCTTGTATCGATTCCATTTATTTCTCTGATCCTTAAAATACTGACATAAAAGAAATGTAAGGAACACTTCCATTTCACTACGTGAAAATAAATGCTTATTAAGTACCCAAATACTTTAATTTTTTCGTATTCACAAAATCCGTATTTACCCTATACACTACTATACACTACAATAAGATAAAACCGACAAGTGCTGCTGACATTGACTAATACCGAGACAACTTTCAGCAGTCCTTTTGACGCGCCAATAAATGCCTAGTAAACAATGCAGTGGAGCACTTGACCAACGAAGTCACAAGTCCAAAACTATGCACTAACAAAGCACGTGCGTGCACATGAGTGAGTCGTTGAATACTAGCTGAGTACATGGGGTGATGATTATTTGTCAGACCCGTAGTTAATTCATACACTTATGGCGTGGACACTTTGGCTACTAGGAACCTCGATGTCGAAATGTATCGAGCAATAATTCCGATATAGTATCAATGTTCATTGAATTAAGCGACGGTTGATCGACGCCCAGAATTTCTGCAATACTAGCCCGATCGATACCGGAAACGGCAAACAGTTTAAAGAAGTCCATCTCTTCCCCGGTAAAACGATTCCGGAATGCTGGGCAAAAACCATTGCACCACTGAGGTAGGGGACATAACTCTATGAGATGATGACTACAGTTGGCCATCTGTTTCGCTGAACGTCCTGACCGACGTCTGCCGCGATCCTCTGTGAGAAACAAAAAAAAATGTATTTTAAACAACGAAAATAACCACTGACAACACAGATATACAAAATGACTACTAGCAAATATTCAGACCGTGTGAGAACGAGGAGAATGGGTGGTGACCATACATGTAACATAACAGTACAGACGTGAGGCCAATTTACAGCTGTACAGTTGTACACACATGTAACATAACAGTACAGACGTGAGGCCACTTTACAGCTGTACAGTTGTACACACATGTAACATAACAGTACAGATGTGAGGCCACTTTACAGCTGTACAGTTGTACATACATGTAACATACATGTAACATAACAGTACAGATGTGAGGCCACCTTACAGCTGTACAGTTGTACATACATGTAACATAACAGTACAGATGTGAGGCCACTTTACAGCTGTACAGTTGTACATACATGTAACATAACAGTACAGATGTGAGGCCACTTTACAGCTGTACAGTTGTACATACATGTAACATAACAGTACAGATGTGAGGCCACTTTACAGCTGTACAGTTGTACATACATGTAACATAACAGTACAGATGTGAGGCCACCTTACAGCTGTACAGTTGTACATACATGTAACATAACAGTACAGATGTGAGGCCACTTTACAGCTGTACAGTTGTACACACATGTAACATAACAGTACAGATGTGAGGCCACTTTACAGATGTACAGTTGCACATACATGTAACATAAAAGTACAGTTGTACATACATGTAACATAACAGTACAGATGTGAGGCCACTTTACAGCTGTACAGTTGTACACACATGTAACATAACAGTACAGATGTGAGGCCACTTTACAGCTGTACAGTTGTACACACATGTAACATAAGAGTACAGATGTGAGGCCACTTTACAGCTGTACAGTTGTACACACATGTAACATAACAGTACAGTTGTGAGGCCTCTTTACAGCTGTACAGTTGTACACACATATAACATAACAGTACAGTTACATGTGTGTACAACTGTACAGCTGTAATTGATATAAATTATTAGAATTTCTTTCCTTACTTTTATTATTTTTCTTGTTCCTTTTCTTCTTCTGTCGTCTTCTCCTTTTCTTGTTTTTCCTTTTCCTGTTCTTTCTTTTACGATTACGTCGTTTCTTTTCACGTCGTCGTTGCTTCCTCTTTTTGCTGACACTGTTTGTGGCTGCTGGTTCGTCCTTAAGGAGCGGGTCAGTCAGTGCACGCTGGCGTATTCTGAAGTGGAAGAGACAAATTATTCATTCGACTGGTAGGTAAAACGCTTACGATGGTGTGTAGTCACAATGGTCACACACTTAACCTAGCCATCTCAAAGTAAATGTTTGTCAAGCTATTGTTTGGTAAATAGAGGAGTTGTCACAATAACACATAACTGATAAATCACACTGACGAAGTGAATAAGGAGACTATGACATTAATTTTGTATTAAATAATTGGAAGATTTGCTCAAGTGTTATTTGTGGATTTGTATCGGTGTTATTTGTCTGTGAGTTATTGGTAGATTTGTATCGGTGTTATTTGTCGGTGAGTTATTGGTGTCGGTGTTATTTGTCGGTGAGTTATTGGTGTCGGTGTTATTTGTCAGTGGTGGATTTGTATCGGTGTTATTTGTCTGTGAGTTATTGGTGTCGGTGTTATCTGTTTGAGTTATTGGTGTCGGTGTTATTTGTCTGTGAGTTATTGGTGTCGGTGTTATTTGTCAGTGAGTTATTGGTGTCGGTGTTATTTGTCTGTGAGTTATTGGTGTCGGTGTTATTTGTCTGTGAGTTATTGGTGTCGGTGTTATTTGTCTGTGAGTTATTGGTGTCGGTGTTATTTGTCTGTGAGTTATTGGTGTCGGTGATATTTGTCTGTGAGTTATTGGTGTCGGTGTTATTTGTCTGTGAGTTATTGGTGTCGGTGTTATTTGTCTGTGAGTTATTAGTGTCGGTGTTATTTGTCTGTGAGTTATTGGTGTCGGTGTTATTTGTCTGTGAGTTATTGGTGTCTTTGTATCGGTGTTATTTGTCTGTGAGTTATTGGTGGATTTGTATCGGTGTTGTTTGTCTGTGAGTTATTGGTGTCGGTGTTATCTGTCTGAGTTATTGGTGTCGGTGTTGTTTGTCTGTGAGTTATTGGTGTCGGTGTTATTTGTCAGTGAGTTACTGGTGTCGGTGTTATTTGTCTGTGAGTTATAGGTGTCGGTGTTATTTGTCTGTGAGTTACTGGTGTCTTTGTATCGGTGTTATTTGTCTGTGAGTTATTGGTGGATTTGTATCGGTGTTGTTTGTCTGTGAGTTATTGGTGTCGGTGTTATTTGTCAGTGAGTTATTGGTGTCGGTGTTATTTGTCTGTGAGTTATTGGTGTCGGTGTTATCTGTCTGAGTTATTGGTGTCGGTGTTGTTTGTCTGTGAGTTATTGGTGTCGGTGTTATTTGTCAGTGAGTTATTGGTGTCGGTGTTATTTGTCAGTGAGTTATTGGTGTCGGTGTTATTTGTCTGTGAGTTATTGGTGTCGGTGTTATTTGTCTGTGAGTTATTGGTGTCGGTGTTATTTGTCTGTGAGTTATTGGTGTCGGTGTTATTTGTCTGTGAGTTATTGGTGTCGGTGTTATTTGTCAGTGAGTTATTGGTGTCGGTGTTATTTGTCTGTGAGTTATAGGTGTCGGTGTTATTTGTCTGTGAGTTATTGGTGTCGGTGTTATTTGTCTGTGAGTTATTGGTGTCGGTGTTATTTGTCTGTGAGTTATAGGTGTCGGTGTTATTTGTCTGTGAGTTATTGGTGTCGGTGTTATCTGTCTGAGTTATTGGTGTCGGTGTTGTTTGTCTGTGAGTTATTGGTGTTGGTGTTATTTGTCAGTGAGTTATTGGTGTCGGTGTTATTTGTCTGTGAGTTATTGGTGTCGGTGTTATTTGTCTGTGAGTTATTGGTGTTGGTGTTATTTGTCAGTGAGTTATTGGTGGATTTGTCGGTGTTATTTGTCTGTGAGTTATTGGTGTCGGTGTTATTTGTCTGTGAGTTATTGGTGTCGGTGTTATTTGTCTGTGAGTAATTGGTGGATTTGTATCGGTGTTATTTGTCTGTGAGTTATTGGTGTCGGTGTTATTTGTCTGTGAGTTATTGGTGTCGGTGTTATTTGTCAGTGAGTTATTGGTGGATTTGTATCGGTGTTATTTGTCTGTGAGTTATTGGTGTCGGTGTTATTTGTCAGTGAGTTATTGGTGGATTTGTATCGGTGTTATTTGTCTGTGAGTTATTGGTGTCGGTGTTATTTGTCTGTGAGTTATTGGTGTCGGTGTTATTTGTCTGTGAGTTATTGGTGTCGGTGTTATTTGTCTGTGAGTTATTGGTGTCGGTGTTATTTGTCTGTGAGTTATTGGTGTCGGTGTTATTTGTCTGTGAGTTATTGGTGTCGGTGTTATTTGTCTGTGAGTTATTGGTGTCGGTGTTATTTGTCAGTGAGTTATTGGTGTCGGTGTTATTTGTCTGTGAGTTATAGGTGTCGGTGTTATTTGTCTGTGAGTTATTGGTGTCGGTGTTATTTGTCTGTGAGTTATTGGTGTCGGTGTTATTTGTCTGTGAGTTATTGGTGTCGGTGTTATTTGTCTGTGAGTTATTGGTGTCGGTGTTATTTGTCTGTAAGTTATTGGTGTCGGTGTTGTTTGTCTGTGAGTTATTGGTGTCGGTGTTATTTGTCAGTGAGTTATTGGTGTCGGTGTTATTTGTCTGTGAGTTATTGGTGTCGGTGTTATTTGTCTGTGAGTTATTGGTGTCGGTGTTATTTGTCAGTGAGTTATTGGTGTTGGTGTTATTTGTCAGTGAGTTATTGGTGGATTTGTATCGGTGTTATTTGTCTGTGAGTTATTGGTGTCGGTGTTATTTGTCTGTGAGTTATTGGTGTCGGTGTTATTTGTCTGTGAGTAATTGGTGGATTTGTATCGGTGTTAATTGTCTGTGAGTTATTGGTGTCGGTGTTATTTGTCTGTGAGTTATTGGTGTCGGTGTTATTTGTCAGTGAGTTATTGGTGGATTTGTATCGGTGTTATTTGTCTGTGAGTTATTGGTGTCGGTGTTATTTGTCTGTGAGTTATTGGTGTCGGTGTTATTTGTCTGTGAGTTATTGGTGTCGGTGTTATTTGTCGGTGAGTTATTGGTGTCGGTGTTATTTGTCGGTGAGTTATTGGTGTCGGTGTTATTTGTCAGTGAGTTATTGGTGGATTTGTATCGGTGTTATTTGTCTGTGAGTTATTGGTGTCGGTGTTATTTGTCTGTGAGTTATTGGTGTCGGTGTTATTTGTCTGTGAGTTATAGGTGTCGGTGTTATTTGTCTGTGAGTTATTGGTGTCGGTGTATTTTGTCAGTGATTGCCAGTGGAGAGATCCTTCTCGTCCTGAGTAATGGGATAGCTACCTGTTGTTTCTGGTAGCGGAGAGACATTTCTCACCGTCGAAGCTGTTCTCCCAGCAGTAAATGGACTGGGCGAGATTAACTCCTTCTACTGATACTGACTGCCAGGTACTGCAACAGCAAAACAGATCTTAATTCTTCTTCAATTATTTGCATATTATCCTATACATGAGTCACGCCTCTCCATCGACAGCCAAATAAAACAATAACAAAAATTCTGAATTCATCTTTGATATAGATATAAACTCACACCTCCACACTGATTACCAGGCACTTTCCATTCATCTTCTAACATTTTATTTACATTACGAAATGAACAAATCACCAAGAGAACACATACGAATGCAGCCTCCACATGTACTCCGGCATGTTAATTAAACCTTCTAGTCTATTGCCAATACCTGTTTTGGGGCCTTTAATTAAATAACTTCACGATCTGTAAAGTGTACATTGTTTCAAGGCAATTTACTATGTACTGTGTTTCCCCTTACATTCCAAAAATATTAAATGTCCTAATTGAACAATTTTACATGTGCTTTTTTATTATTCTTGTTTAAATAAGAGAAAGGCATTTCTTTCTGAGGTCTAAAAAACGGATGGTTTGTTTATTCGGGGGCAGAGGGATGTCACACAAATTCATGAAAAAAAAATGAACTCCTGAGACAGATATCCATGAGAATTCCCTTATATAAAGACCCATTCGAATTCTTTCAGTTTAGAAATCAATTAGTATTTTTTCAATCCGATATGATTCTCTTGATATAGAGATCAATGGAGACCCTCTTCTAATTAAAAGATCAATCCATATATGATTTAAGTAAGTAAGAAAACAATGCCAATTGTCTTTATTACCAGATCAATAGGGAGCATCTTGAATTAGAGATTACGGAGGACTCTTCTAATATATATATAGATCGATGAAAATTGATGATCAATCACATGTGACAAATACATAAACTTATCTTCTCTAGTACAATCAAATATACTATTATATGCAAATAGCCTCCATTGGGATTCGAACCCGGTACCCCTGATTTACTAGAGAGAAGATCTATTCAGCCAAGCGGCATAATGCAGCCAGTATTTCATAAGTAACATCGAATGGCTTTGTATGTCACTTTGTAATGTGTAAAATATACCGCAGAGGGTATTTCCATATACATTTAGAATATATTTACATATGATGCCATGTGACTCTATCAACTGTCGAATATCTACTTACCTTTTTTGTAGTAACTCGTGAGAGAGACAGGCTGGTGCAAATACAGCCCTGTAATACAAACATACAGCGTTACAAAAAGAGACAGGTGTTTACTATGTAAATACGAAAGACGGCGGACGTTATATATGATTTATATAAATGATAAGTATTTGTTTCAAACGGTGTTGACAATGATAAGTATTTATTTTGTCAATTGTGAGCGAAATACAAAATATTACAACAGTTGAAGAAATTTACTTTTGTTATAATAGACTCAAACAGAACAACGGTCATTGGCTGTCCTAGAGCTATGTTAACATGTTATCTTTTCTACAATGACTTACGTGACATTTTGTAGAGTGCTTTTGACATGTTCCCCGAGATTATGCAGGTACTCCCATTGGCCCCTGGAGAAGACCGTGTTGCCCCGATTCATGGCAAGCTGTGATTGGTCAATGAGATTATTGACCGTAATCTGAGCCTCGTCGAACAAGTACTGAACGATGAATATCGGAGCTGTAATAACACAATACACTCATGATATATAATAGTTAGGGCAGAATGACAACTATTCAATTAATTTTCAGATACAAGTGGCACAATTTCAAAATAACCACACTAAGTAATTTTTCCTTTTAAAAACTCGCAATTTTGCATGCAGTCCTTTGAATTTTTAACAATGCCGTAGTTTTCTGTGACGTGTTAAGACTAACCTATGTTCCAACGTTAGGTATTCACTTAAACTCAGTGTCCCACAGTCGATTACTTCTAGCATCCTTTTTGTGGTTAAGTTTTAAATAATGTATAGATTTGTGAAGAAGACTTGAAGTTCGTTGTTTGGTCTAAGATTGGCCTATGTTCAGTGCTTGATAGCCCCGTAGCGCAAACTTAATTTACTTCGATGGTAATGTGCAAGATTGAACTACTTCTTAGGAATGGTGAAGGATTAAGTTACCTTAAAGCTATGTTGAATTTTACCATTTTCCCAGTGTTTGGAATATGTTTCTGTTGTGATTGACATACTTATTTAGTGTTGAATATATACATAATCTATATAATCTTAGATATATATTGTATCTCTGTTTCAGTGTCGATTATATCCTTATGTTGGGGATTGACCTACTTATGGCTGACCTATTTATTATGGTTGACCTACTTTTCAATGTTGGATATATCCTATAGCCGAAGTAACATTTCCAGTGCTCTGACTCCGGGTATTGTGCTTTACAGGCGTCGGGAACCTGACCTTTCCACAAACTGAAAATGAAATTAAATGATATAAAGCCGAAGTACACAAATACAGCAGTTATTCTATTATAATGTTCATCATAACAGAGGTCTTCATAACCATTTTCATAAACACCATTCCCATGAAAATAAATAGGATCGTCAATTACAATACAGAAATCTGGCATTTTTAACCGTTCGGGGAAATACATATAAGAACAACAGAAAAAACCCCGAGAATTCACCGGGTTATTTATTGTTTCATAAAACGTAATACGATTTACAGTGCTGGTTAATCGAGAGACTGGCCTGCTACACGTTACTCTCTGCTTCTGGGTCACATTGTAACGAGACCCTGTCTAGAGATTTATACCGCGCTATGGCAGTTCTAACGATTTTCCGTCAGAATCAAAATGTGTTCCACTATTTCCATCCTCCTCACTAATCACCCCGGAGATATTACAGAGGAGAAGTACTTTGAAAAGAGTAATTTCATGCAGTCAACCTTCCGATTAAATGTCACCAAGCTATAATTTCAAACTCGTCACCGGACGGTAATTCCGGATTTTATTCCTTTCATCATTCTAATTCAGATTCTAATCAGAGGCCAGTTATACTACAATGCGGTATTTTCTCGTTATTTTTTCTAGCGCATTGTTATCAAAAACAAAAACTATCACGTATTTATTACACGAAATTAAAGAGTGTCGATCAAGCCAGATATTGTCTATGTAAACTAGAACGCGGCACAGTGACAGGTAAGCTTGACGCCCCGGAGCTGGTCTCTCTGTTGCTATAGTTGGTCTTTAACACTTCACAGTGAAACAAACTCGGTCTACCTTCTGTCAGCCAATACTCCTTATCCATATTTTATATATGATTTTGATTTTAATTACATCTATTTCAAAAGTTGGTTTTCCGGAATCTGTTTCTGAAAGGGTTAGTTACGGGAATGAGATATTAACTACTAAACTACATATTACATTATATATATATTTTTTATACTTATTAGAGATCAAACTATTGGTTATAACCCTTGCATCGCTATTTCCATTTAAATGGATATTAAAGGTATATTTATATATATGCTGCCTGATAAAGCTCGCAATGCGAGGATGTGTCTATATTATGTGTGACAATTGTGGACCTATTTACACGACCAAGTTAGGGCAACAGCAGCAGATCAAAGTGACGATATTCCTGTCCGATGGGCTATTGGTAGAGTAAGGGTCCTCATATAAAAGCCATTTTATAGGGAAATAAAACCTGACGGTTTAGCGATGCGGGATACTTCAAACGGGCGGTGGTTGTGTATCGCCGTAACGCATTGTCCCCTAATCGCCGGCCATACCAACAGTCGGCCTTACCAATAATTATTAGTAAACAGAAAATTGATATTTCACTTTGTCCTCAAATTTGGTGTGTAGAGTCACACAGATCAAACTGGGGGCAATATTTGGATAAATAGTCGTGTCCTTTCAGAACTCATTTGACAGTGACGTTTGAAAATGCCACGGTCGATGGTTGATCGTGGTGTTGTAACGACGATCAAAGGTGAACACCTACCAAACACACCTGTGAACAAGATTAAATCTACTATCTCTGAATTTGTCCACTTTGATTAAAAGTAGGTTTCTTGTTTTTCTCACATCCAACATACGCTTTCTGTTTTCTAGTTTTCAGTGTATCTACACATTTTTTATTTAGATATCCGATAAAGCATGGTGATATGGATATTTTCTATCAATGACAGCTTGGATCAGGAAGAGCAGGACTGTCATTTAAACATACACCTGTATGTTTACCGTAATTTCAAGACCAACAAAAACAAGCCCATCAAGGGTACCTTTTCGATAAAAAAAATACTCAGTGAATTAGAAATAACGACACATGAAAAGATATCGTGCCCATTAAAATGAATATCGTTTTATTATAAAAATAGCAACAGATTGTCACGTACTTGATACCCCGTTTGACGCCGTCGGCGGGAGCACACGAGAACGGTTCTGTACACTCTCTTGCGTGGTATTGCGGGGTGTCCACAAACCATCCCGAATCGGCAATCCCCCGTACCTCCACTGTCGGGGCTAGCTTGGACATGAGGTCAGCTACTCGGTCAAGATTGGTCAGAACACCAGTTCCACCAGCACTGAGGACATAAAAACATCACAATTATCAGGAATGTAAAATCCACAAATATCGTTCTACGTCATTTGGAAAGTCTCTGTGTAAAACGCTATTGAGTGTTCCAGAAGACTCCGAATGAATAAACAATTACCTGCTCCCCGCGAGCATCAACTTCCGGGCCCGTTGAAGCCCCTTCGGAATCAGTTCCCGAATCACAGCTTCTACGATGTATGACCCAAGAAATGCGTAGCCCTCTGTAAATGTAATAATAAAATACAAATCGTGTGGCTCCAGAAACTATTTATCAAGAGGACAACTACGTACAAAGGAAACAAAAACACCGAAACATTCCGATAAAAATTGACTACATGTTTTACGCGGACATCTTAAGATTATTGAAATAAAACCATCGTCTCGTCTTCTGAGAGATTAAGATGACGTATAAAAAGTAAGATAACACATACCCGAACTCCTGGAAGTGCCTGTCCATGAATCACTGGAGCAGTAGGGAACCACACTGAAAACATCATACTACACTTGTAATATAGTTGTTATTGTAATACTGGTCTATAGTTTTTACACGAATCGTTACAAACTAGAGTTTAAAAAACGAATGTTAAAAAAACAACAAAAGAACACAACGAAGCCAGCAAAATAATATACTCGGGAACTAAAAGCGTGGATACAGGAAAAAATTCCTTCGCATTAAATTGTTGGAGACATAGGTTGTAGAGTTTCGATTACAACAGGCGTCAGACAGAGGTAGCCAGGCTAAACAGTCTTGAAATGTCTGTCGAAAGACAGATGAGAACCGTGCAAGGGAAGAACAGACCAAGAGATGAGGACAGTCCAGACGTGGACCAGCTTTCTGAATTTCATGTCCTGATTATTTGTATAAAGTCAAATGAGTACTGTCCAGGAGTGGACCAAATTTCTTAATTTCATGTCCGAAATGTTTGTATAAAGACAGATGAGGACAGTCCAGACGTGGACCAGCTTTCTGAATTTCATGTCCTAAATGTTTGTATAAAGACAGATGAGGACAGTCCAGACGTGGACCAGTTTTCTGAATTTCATGTCCTAAATGTTTGTATAAAGACAGATGGGGACACTTCAGGAGCGGAACAGATTTCTGAACTCCTTGTCTGATGTTGTGTTATGCTTGGTGAAACTGCGGTGTATTTCGTCTTTGTGTGTTTCTGAAGAATTGTATAGTCACACAAGTGAATATTAACTTTCAAGTGAATATTACCTTTCAAAGGAAATTCAGTATACCAAGCTGCATCATACAGCTGTTTCGTCCTGATAAGATTAATCAGTGATGATAGTGACCTACTTTGTGAAATTCTAGAAGGAGAGTCAAGGAAAATGACAGTTGACAAAACAAGTACATATTGAGTCTGATACTGTTTATTTTTCTTGACAAAAATGAGATGAATCTTGTTTTGTAAGTTGACCTGGTAGTACATTACAATATACAATAAACAAATCTACCTCTAGTTAACTGTTTTGTCTACTATCTTATCCTGATTTGTGTTAATGTATGACATTGTCTCATTACTGTAACTGTGAGTACACAATTAGGACGAAGTGTGAAAAACTTCGGTGTAAGTGTGGAGAACAGTTTTGAGGGAGTGTGGAGACTCAATTCGGAGGAAATGTGAATATAAAATTTGGAGGAAGTGTGGAGACACAATTTGGAGTAAGTGTTGAGACACAATTTTGAGGAACAATGGAGAACAATTTTGAGGAAGTTTGGGGACACAATAAAGAGGAAGTATGAGGACACAATTTGGAGAAAATGTTCAGATATAATTTGGAAGAAATATTGGAATAATTTGATGGTTACTCACACAATATTGGCGTTAAAGTAGTAAGGATTTTCTTTCGGGTCCCAGGAAAGGATGCCAGTACCTGGAATAGAATCAATTACAGATGGAACTATATCGAATTAACATTAATCATCTGTTAACAATTAGGTAAGACATCAATTCAGGATTATCGTGCCCAAACAACAAGTCTTTTCGTCGTAAAACAGAAAGAAATTTGAATCTTGAATTATTTTCACTTGAATATTCGTGATTGCATGCGGCGTGGTATTATATCACATCAGAGTATAGTCTTATATATACCAGGAACAATCGTAATATGATCAGATAAGCTCAAAAACTCTGAGGTGCGTTGTTAAGAACTGAGGTCGGGCTGGGGAGGGGATGTTTACTGTATTATATAACGCCCCCTCGGTCGCACCACGCAGACTGTGAAACGTGCATCACCTTGTACAAGCGGCTGGTATTCTACACAGCAGAAAACGTGTTTGTAAGCAAATTAAAGTTTCAAATAAAGAAACATTTTAATTAGTGTGAGTTGTGTAGAGGGCACATGCATGTCTTTCTGGGCGGCCCGAGCAGAAGCGATGGCCACACAGCACGCGTGGACTTTAGTAAGTCCTGTTATCCACAGATACCCATAGATCTACACGCCACGATAACATCTAATCTCGTTACCAGTTATATGATCGAATGCAAAATGTCTCATCTTTCGATATGTTATTCACAAACAGAATTAAACACCTGTGAAAACCCAGTAGTTGGTTATGTTAGTTCTGTTAGTTCTCGGCAGTTTCAATCTATTCGATAAAAAAATCTTCTAACACAGTGAGTGTTTACTCAGACGAACGCCTAATTAGTACTGGAGCTGGTCAATATACGATAGTACAGGACAATGCATTAGATTAGAACCATGTATTTATAAATGTTTCGAGCTACGGAGCTATTGCGAGAAAAGTGAAACCGAAGGCAACGTTAGATTGACAAAGAAAGTGAACACTTTTTTCGATAATTCCGCAAAACAATTCTACATATTCAATTTGGTATGACTAATATGACATTCGTTTATAATAACGTACAGTTAATATCACGACGTTCTATAATATAATATCCTTAGACAAACTCGAACAGTTTAACACATCCCTTTATAAATCATTTACGGTTAATATCACATCAAGTCAACGACACACCTGTGTGATATCAACCATACTTTGTAGTGTACCTGTGTGATATCAACCATACTTTGTAGTGTACCCAGTAGTTTACCTGTGTGATATGAACCATACTTTGTAGTGTACCCAGAAGTTTACCTGTGTGATATCAACCATACTTTGTAGTGCACCTGTGTGATATCAACCATACTTTGTAGTGTACCCAGTAGTTTACCTGTGTGATATCAACCATACTTTGTAGTGTACCCAGTAGTTTACCTGTGTGATATCAACCATACTTTGTAGTTTACCTGTGTGATATCAACCATACTTTGTAGTGTCCCTGTGTGATATCAACCATACTTTGTAGTGTACCCAGTAGTTTACCTGTGTGATATCAACCATACTTTGTAGTGTACCCAGTAGTTTACCTGTGTGATATCAACCATAATTTGTAGTGTACCTGTGTGATATCAACCATACCTTGTAGTGTACCTGTGTGATATCAACCATACTTTGTAGTGTACCCAGTAGTTTACCTGTGTAATATCAACCATACTTTGTAGTGTACCCAGTAGTTTACCTGTGTGATATCAACCATACTTTGTAGTGTACCCAGTAGTTTACCTGTGTGATATCAACCATAATTTGTAGTGTACCTGTGTGATATCAACCATAATTTGTAGTGTACCTGTGTGATATCAACCATACCTTGTAGTGTACCTGTGTGATATCAACCATACTTTGTAGTGTACCTGTGTGATATCAACCATACTTTGTAGTGTACCTGTGTGATATCAACCATACTTTGTAGTGTACCTAGTGGTTTACCTGTGTGATATCAACCATACTTTGTAGTGTACCCAGTAGTTTACCTGTGTGATATCAACCATAATTTGTAGTGTACCTGTGTGATATAAACCATAATTTGTAGTGTAACCAGTAGTTTACCTGTGTGATATCAGCCATACTTTGTAGTTTCATAGTTTTATCTGTTCTATGTTTTTTTTAAGTATACCTGGTAGTTTCGTTGTTACTGTAACGATTCTCACTTTGGGGGCTTGATATTATTTGGATTTGGTCTGAAGCTGAAAACGTTTCATGTCGTCCTTTCATCGTTCAAATTACCAAAGGTTTCGACCATACGACATCATTCATGATACCTGTACTACACAACTGGTAGCTGACAAACAGAATCTCTGACTGTCCGGCGTAGCCGTGTAAATCATGTTTGTCTGCCCACACTGGGTACTTTGCGGTACAGAAGGGACCCATACAATGTACGGTGCTGCTCTGGGTTGATAAGAAGTTGTAGGTTTTGAACGAGTTTGCCAGTGTAGTACTTGTTACAGGTTAACATTACAATCACACACAACAAACACAGGCTAGATTGATCGCCCTATGTTCTCTGTGTATAACAATCGCATCACGCAAAAACTCCCGGTGTTTTAACTTATCTAATGTTCGACAAAAACATTTACATGTACCGACAACTGTTTGTTTACAGAATACGAGGAGGGTAGTCTCATTATCAAATCACTTCTACGACCCTTTTTCTCAAAAGAATACCTTTCCTCGCTACGAGCCTTTGATGTTCAGAATTTTCGGAATTCCTCTCCATTCTTCGATGATAAGAAGATGGTATAATCTATGTTGAATGTTTGTGACGACTGTTTTGTCTTCGAACAAAACCTCGGGGTTGGAGATTATGCCTAATGACTTATACAGTTGTTAGAGGGAGGTTTCCGCCAATAATTAGCACTCAATTAGTGATCGTTTCCCGTAATATCGCCGGGGCCAAACCTCTAATTATACACGTCAGTAACACTTGTGCGTTAATATGAAATAATAGTCTTAACACGAAGTTAACCACAATTTTCCGACGATCGATCGCTGCGATGGTCAAGATTCAATATAGAGCTAGAATAAAGGAGTCACGCTGACCGCTTATAAATGAGACGAATCAAGAGTTCTGTACAGTTAACTTGGCCACATGGGGCGGCTAGAATAGTTTATCGTCATACCTTGTGGTACTGCGTGACCATGGATTCGTCTCTAATAAGGATTATCTACTGATAATCACCATGTGCTCCGTGTGTATTTTTTCTCTTTCCACTCGATTTTATTTATATGCGGAGAAATGCGGAACTCGGCCGTAACCACATCTATTACACCCCCGGTGGTCGCGGGCAGGTGGGTAGCACGCGAAAAAGGGGAAATAAATGTCAGTTATCACGAAGTTGTGTAGCAGTGACTACAGTTAAAGAGGAAATTTTCACACCGAACCCAAAGCTCCGTTTCACATATTCCTCTAAAGAACGGGTTCCCTTCTATATACTTGTTTAATCCTTCTAGCATTGTTTCTTTCTCTTCCCCAAGGACCACGTGATTCCCCAGACATAATGAGGATTTGACGTTAGGTAAACTGAGGAATTTAAGTTATATATATTAATTATGGTAAACATATATCATTACTATAGTAATCATTGTGTTGTGAGATGACGTGAAACTTCGTACCATCATCGTAACCAAGATTTGTCATTTTGAGAATCTGTTTAATCTTCGGTCCTAAAGCATTTTTTCGAAATAAGAGTTATCCAAAGTCACTGAACTGAGACATAGAGGTGTGAAATATACAGAAAATGTGGTAAGTATTTAGAGGTGATCTAACACTACTCACCTGCCCTGATTTCTGGCCAGTCCACAGAACTCATCAGTGATCTCATATGCTTACTTTCCCATCTTAGCTGACAACTCGGTCTGTCAAAACAGTACCATCCTCCTTTAAGGAAAAGTAAGACATGTTAGATGAGTTCGTATGTCGTATGTGTACTATGTGTAGAAGTTAAATAAAATCAGCATACAGATAGAGCTTAACAATTTGGTGTACAAAAAGTCAAGTATTCCCAATGTTCCAGTAGAGTTTGTGAGGATAAATATCTATTCTAGACCAGCGTTATATGACATATAGTAAGATATTTAAGAATATATGAAGGCAAGGTTTGAGAAACAGGGCATACAATTGTACAATTTCTATAATTGTACTTGCGAGTCAAAAGTGGAATACTTAATCAATCATTTTGTTGAAGTTTTTGATTATGTACTAGATTTTTTGAGGGGCAGATGACGTCGTTATTCTGTTATAAAAAAATACTTGTGAAATGTGTTATTTCGACTAATACAAAATCATTATTGTATGAGCGTGAGGGGTTTTACTTTGTTAGGTTAGCTAGATTAGCTAGGTGAAAGGCAATTTTTTTCTTCTTAAGATACTTCTTTTTAAGTATAACATAAAACAAACAGGAGATGATGATGACCAGTGGTATTGGTACTAAATCCACAGACGATCGACTAGACGAGATATATGAGATCCTCAGGAATCTTATTACTGAGGATGTGTTGGATAAAAAGTTAGAGAAACTCCGTTTGGACATTCAGCTAGAACACGCAGAACGTATTGAAGCTCTGGAGGAGAGGGTAAACACCCTGGAAACTGAAAATAACAACTTGAAAGTGACAATTTCTGAGCTAGAGAACGAGTTATTGACCAGTCAAGATCGACAGAGTGAGATGGCGGGAAAGTATAACGACCTGGAACAACAAGGCCGGAAGAATTCTGTTAGAATCGTTGGACTTCCAGACCCGGGAGTGAGGGAATCGGTAGAGGACTGTGTCCAAACGATCGTGGGATTTGTACGTGACACCTTGAAAGTACCACTACAGGAGAGGGACATTGACATCGCACATAGATTGGGAAAGTGCAATGGTACAAATCCTAGGAATGTGATAGTAAAGTTCACGCACCGGAGAAAGAAGCATGAAATTATCCGCGCCCGCAAGATCCTGAAAGGTTCCAAGTTTGTTATCTATGAAGACCTTACTTCCTTAAATCAACAGAGACTGAAGGAAGCGTTCCGTATGAACTGTGTCAAAAATTCGTATAGCACAGACGGGAAAATATATGTGATTTTGACTAATGGCAAGAAGCGCAGACTTTTACACGATACACCCTTGGAAGAAAGTTACTTGATGAACGATGCTAATTTTGTATCAAGGAGATAGAAGTTGGACAGTGCACAGTGATCGGTAAATGACTTAATGCCAGTGTGTCTGGCAACCGATCACCTTTGTGTTGTATACTAATGTGCTTTTTTCTGTGGTGTACATGTATATGTGTGTTGTGTGATCAATTCTTCTGTGTGAAAAGGATATATATCATTACTGAAATTCCATTTGTAAAAGGTAAGAATAACTACGTAGTATTTTTTGTGACTTTAGATTTTAAAGTATGATAATGAGATATACACATGTAACGTCATTCAAAGTGAGCATATAGCTTGTTATAAATAATATATTTGTAACTGTCGTAATTTAAGAAAGATTTTTTAAGCTCCGAAAATAAATGGTATGTATATGCTATATTTTGAGGATGTCGTAGGTAGTAGTAGTATTTAAGTCCGTGGTAGTCCATAATATCTTGCTAATAACCTATATTGAGTAGCCAGGTATTATATGGGATATTATATATAACTTACAGAAATGCATGTATGCTATAATATAATTGGTGAACGTGTAGTTGTTTTATATATACTTCCGGTCCGGGTGGTCTCGGGAGGTCCCCCGGTCTATTCCGGACAGTTCCGCGGGCCGGTTCATTCTCCGTGCATTAGTATCAACACTTCCTGTTTGTCATTTCCGGTATAGCGGCACAAATTGTCTGATTGTCCGAAGTTTTCACGGCCAATAGGTTGTGTGTAAGTGTTGAGTGGTGGTGTAGCTCCTTTCTTGACCTTGTAAGATGCTTTTATCACAACCTTTCCCCCCTCTTATCCCCATTTCTTCTCCCTTTGTCTTGTTTCCTATTTCCCAGCTGGAAGGCTGCTCTTACGCATCCATTCAATTTCTCAGTTATGGATGATATCTGTGTACTCTCGGTGAACTGTCAGGGTCTTGGTGATAAAATTAAGAGGAAGGATGTTTTCTCATACTTAAGAGACAAGAAATACCACATCTACTGTTTACAAGACACTCATTTTTCAACAGAACAAGAAAATTTAATTAGAAATGAATGGGGGTATCACAGTTTTTTCAGTTCTTTCTCATCAAATTCTCGTGGTGTAGCAATCTTACTCAATAATAATTTTGAAAGTAAAGTTTATAGAGAAAAACGTGATTTAGATGGAAATTTTTTAGGGATTGATATTGATATTGAGGGTAGTAGATTGACACTTATAACCATTTATGGGCCTAATCAGGATAATCCAATTTTTTATACTCAGATTTCGGAAACTATTGACAGCTTTGGAAATGAAAATATAATAGTCTGTGGCGATTTTAACCTCGTGATTAACCCTGAGCTTGATTATGATAACTCATATAGAAACATCAACAATGCATCTGCTAGGGAGAAGGTGTTAGAAATCAGTGAGACATACAATCTTATAGACATTTTTAGAGAACTTCATCCAGATATTAAGAGATATACTTGGCGAAGAAAAAATCCTATTAAGCAGGCCAGACTAGACTTTTTTCTCACTTCAGACAGTTTATTATCCAGTACAAGAAAATCTTTCATAGAACCAAGTTATAGATCTGACCATTCGGCTACAGTAATAGCGTTAAAATTAAATGAATTTAAAAGAGGAAGAGGTCTCTGGAAGTTTAATAACTCATTATTATTTGAACTAGATTATTTAGACATGGTTAAAAAATGTATAGATGACATAAAATTACAATATTGCCTACCTGTATATAATCTTAACTCTGTTTCGCTTTTACCTAATACAGAAATTCAATTCTTAATTAATGATCAATTGTTTTTGGAGACATTGTTAATGGAAATAAGAGGCAAGTCAATATCATATGCATCTCATAGAAAGAAACAACAGAACCTTGAAGAAGAAAACCTAAAGAAATCTATCGAAATTATGGAAGCTAATATAGACACTGACCAGGAAGAATTAGATGTTAAAAAAAGAGAACTTGAAGCAATACGGTCAAAAAAAATAAAGGGCAGTATTATTAGGTCAAGGGCCAAATGGGTGGAGGAAGGGGAGAAACCAACTTCGTATTTTTTAAATCTTGAAAACAGAAACTTTACTTCTAAAATTATTCCAAAAATTCAGAAAGATAATGGGGACATAATTACCAATCAAGATGATATTTTAAAAGAAGTTAAACTATTTTACGAAAACTTATACAAACATAAAGAAGTTACCCCAATTGATTTGGATCATCATCTCCATGACTGCAGTGTCCCTAAGTTAACTGATGCTGAGTCCAATAATTTAGAAGGTATTATAACATTTGAGGAGGCAGGAAAGGTATTGAAAGATATGAAAAACAATAAGAGTCCGGGTTCAGATGGCTTTACTTCAGAATTTTTTAAAACTTTTTGGAATGTTATAGGTATTTTTGTGATTCGTTCGATTAATTATAATTTTTCAGTGGGCCTTCTCTCAATTACTCAGAGACAAGGTGTTATAACTTGCTTACCTAAGGGAGATAAGCCCCGTCATTTTTTAAAAAATTGGAGACCAATCTCTCTCTTGAACATTACATATAAAATAGCATCTGGAGTAATTTCATATAGGTTAAAATCAGTTTTAGGAAAACTTATTCATGAAGATCAGACGGGATTCTTATCTGGGCGTTATATTGGGGAAAACATCCGTACTATTTATGATGTAATGCGTTATGCAGAAGATTTGAATATTCCAGGAATGTTACTAATGGTCGACTTTGAAAAAGCTTTTGACTCAGTTTCTTGGGATTTTATTGATAATGTTCTTCGTTACTTTAACTTTGGAGTGGATATTAGGAAGTGGGTAAAAATTCTGCATACTAATGTTTATTCAGTGGTTAATCAGGGGGGTAACATTTCTAGACCAATTAACATTCAGCGTGGTTGTCGTCAAGGCGACCCAGTTGCCCCATATATTTTTATACTAAGTGTTGAAGTTCTAGCTGCAAGAATTAGAAATAATGAAAATATCCAGGGTATACAAATTAATAATGTGTCTATTTTAAATGTGCAATATGCTGATGATACAGGTCTGATTCTGGATGGAACTGAAAAATCTCTAAAAGAATCTATTAATGAGCTGAATACTTTTGCTAAGATATCAGGGTTAAATATCAACACCAGTAAGACACAGGTTATTTGGATAGGAAGTAAGAAATATAGTGAGGAAGCTTTTCTTCCAGAGTTAAATCTAATTTGGGGTAAGAATAAGTTTACTTTTTTGGGAATTGATTTTTGTGTTAACCTTAGTGAAATTCCTGGAATGAATTACGATAAGAAACTTGTTAAATTAAAGGCTCTTATTAATGTGTGGGAAAGACGAAGGCTTACTCCTTTAGGTAGAATCAGTATAATAAAATCTTTATTAATTTCCCAGTTCAATTATTTATTTATTACCCTACCAAATCCTTCCAACAGTTTTCTTGGTAAATTGAGCTCTATTTTATTTGATTTCCTCTGGAATGGCAAACAACACAAGATAAAAAAAGACGTGGTCATTCAGAACTACATAGACGGGGGATTAAAAATGATAGATATTGTAGCTTTCATAGATTCTCTCAAACTTGGCTGGATCAGAAGAATATTTCACTCATCAGGGAAATGGAAAATATTATTGAATTCTATTATAGATGAGAAAAAAATGTTAAATTGTGGGATAGAATATGTTAATTCTTGTTGCCTAAATTGTAGAAATCCATTCTGGAAAGATGTATTTAAAAGTATGATTAAACTTACTAACTCGGAACTTTTTAGACAATGTTATATCAC